TCTTACTGTCCTTCCACTCAGGGCATCTTGAGCCAAGACACACTCAGTCCAAACAACACCAGAACAGCGTGGTCCTTCCAGCCTCCAATCCTAACCTGACCCACCTTCTGCAGAGTCTGTTGGAGGGCTGGAGGGAAGGGAAGCCTGATGGTCTCAGATCCAGGTGAACTGGGCCAGGCCTGCTTATGGCTTTGTTCACAGTCCTGCTGGGGCTGGAAAGAGAGGGTGACACAGAGAGGGAAGGGGTTTCTGTCTCACTTCCCCATCTGCCTGTGCCACTGTGGGATGTGTACCACTGCTGTCCCAGGAGCCACAGTAATAGTCAGCCTCATCCTCTGCCTGGGCCCCACTGATGGTCAAGGTGGCAGTTGTCCCCGAGCTGGAGCCAGAGAATCGCTCAGGGATCCCTGAGGGTCTCTCGCTGTCTTTATATATCACCAGCACAGGGATCTGGCCTGGCTTCTGCTGGTACCAAGAAGCATATTTTTTTGGCAATGCATCTCCAGAGCAAGTGATCCTGGCCGTCTGTCCTGGTGACACTGACACGGAGGGTGGCTGTGTCAGCTCATAGGAGGCCTCAGAGCCTGCAAGGAAGAACAGGATAGGGAGCTTGAAGACAAAGGACCCATTCCCAGGAGTCCCACCCAGAGACTGTGTCTACACTTTGCTCAGGATTCAGGGCAGCCTCAACTTAGGATCTGTGGGGACTGAGCCTGGGGTCACCACCTGTGCAGAGAGTGAGGAGAGGGAGCAGGAGGGAAGTCCAGGCCATCGTGAGACACCCAGAGCTCTTCCTCCCGGGCCCACAGCACAGCTGGGCTCCCCAGGCCTCTCTTATTCCCTCTCAGGCTTTTGGGGGAAGTCAGTGTTTGGTGTTTATGCAAATTTACATCCTCTGGGACTCCTCCTGGAGAGGTGTCACTCAAACCAGCTGTGGGGGCAGCACAGGCGACAGGAAAAAGGGGAAGCAGGATCTGTGGTTAGAAAATCAGCCCCAGCCTTCAAGCGCTGTGATCACAGTCACCTTCCTGGAAGTTGACCTCATGCTACTGTCCCAAACTTCGCTGAACTGAAGTCTGTCCTGGGCCAGGCTCAGCAGAGCTGTGGATCTTCCGGGGCTGATCTTGGCCCTGCTGTGAAGTCATAATGACACCTGACTCAGCAGCAGGTGCACAAGAGACCCATCATCTTCCTCCTCCTGGTCCCTCTAAGACTCAGTCCCCTCTTCTTCATTTCATCTAAATGCTGTGCTGTGTCACTTGAACACTTGCTAATTATTTCAGATGGAAGAGTTGGGTCCTTTAAGCAAGCACAGACACCTGTGGAGCCAACAGGCTTCTGGTCTCATTTCGTCCGTGGTGCTGCTCTTTCCGTACCAACCCCCATTGCTACAAGAAGTTAGCAATTGGCCCCTCAGCTCATCTGTCACCTATTTATGTTTTCCTCATCAATGTTTTATGTAAACTTGCAAAGAGCAGCAGACTCAGCTGAGAATCTAACTTTAGGCCCCATGGTCTCTATAAGGGTCCCAGGGATGTGGTCTTCGCACAGCAAGTGAGCTCCACAGGGTGAGTGGTCCCTGGTTACTCCAGCCAAGTCCCTTCTTATTGTCATGTCACAGAGCATGGTCAGTTGAGAATCCTCGTCCTTCTGGAGAGCATGTCCTCGAGGAGACTGGGGGTGCCTCATGCAGGGACCGGGGCCCCAAATGCATCTTCACCCCACCCACCTGAGATTCCCTTGAGCACGGAGCCACCCCCTGAGTCAGGGTCTGCCTGGAGCTGGAAGGAGAGGCAGAGGGAGCGGCGGTCGAGTGTATCTGGAAGTGTCCAGGACAGAGGGCTCAGCTCCCCAGGACACTGCTGGACAGGGAGGAACAAGGCCCTGAGAGTGGCAGGAGGCTCAGGCAGCCATCCTGGGTGAGGGACTCAGGCCCTGGGAGCCCATCCCCTCACACTCTTAGAGGACCTTGACCTCGGGACGTCTCCCAGGGTGTCCCCTTCCTGAGGAGGCTGCCTAGGCTGACACCTGGGCCAGGATCCTCTAGCTGCATTTCCCAGGTGAGGCCTTCACTGTGGCGGGCTTCCGTCAGTGTCCTGGGGTGACACTGTGTGAGCCTGACCCTCAGAACGTGGCCACTGCAGCCCGAGGGGATAGGATGAACTGTCTTCACTTTCAAGACTGATTCTTGGACACCTGCTGACCCCCAGGCTGGGCTTCCTCTTTGCCCCCCTGGGCAGCCCCAGCCTGGCTCCTGACTGCTCCTGGCTGCAGCTCTGCTGCCCCCAGCTGGTGGAGGAGACTCGGCCCAGGTGACATCACAGCTCCTGTCACCTCAGAAGTTGAGGACCAGAGAGTCCAGCCCCATTCTGTGCCAGTGTGACCCAATCCACCCTGCTCAGCCCAGCACAGAGAGTTCACACACACAGTGCAGAGAGGCAGGGCAGGTGCAACTGCTGTAAAAGTGTCTCCGGGCTGAGATGCCCTCCTCTACTGGTTTTGTTCATCAGGACTAATGAGAGAGCTCTTCTGCAAAGCTTCCAAAGTCCAGAGAGATGTGCATGCCATCCTCCAGGGACCCCGACTTCCCGTGCACTTAGGAAGAAAATGGGTACACCTCACACATAATGACAGCAGCTATGATTCACCACGGTCACCTGATGTCTCCTGCACTGCAGCTTAGTTGTGAGCTAACATCACCATTGTCAGCACCGTTAATTTCAAGTTTATGTTTATTTCATTCCACCTTTCTCAGAGTGTCTGCCAGGAGGACTTCTACACTAGCCTGGTCTGTTTTCCTGATGAAACTGAGGCTCTCCTGCTTATTCTCAGCTGGGGGCTGCTGTTCCCACCATGCAGAAAACAAGCTCTTTTTGAGCCTCTTTCTTGGAATCCCTGCAGAGGAAAGCCAAGTTCCATGTCTGAAACCCATTGAATGACATCCTCTCATTGGGCTTTAATTAACTAATACCACATTCATCGCTTTGCTATTTTTTAATTTTGAATGGAGAAAAAAGCTTCTTCAGTTCAGTATAAGCCTCCTCCCCTCACAGCAGCTAACGCTGTGGCTAAAAGAGACCAAGTGGCTCAGGAGAACAGAAAGCAGCGGGGGCAAGTCCAGGAACGGATCCAAGTATCCTGAGTGCTGGACCAGGGGCCTTTGGAGCAGAACTTAACCAAGGTGGGGAGGGAGGGGGATGAGGACCAGGCAGCAGGGATGTGTCCCATGGACACACTGACATCCCCCATCATGGGCTAGCCGTGCCGAGGAGCTCACCTCAGCCTGGAGAAGGTGCGGGCTGTACCCCAGGTTAGAGCTGGAGAATGTGTGGGTATTGGGGAATGCTTTGGATGCAGGTCTGGCCTGGCTCCTGCTGGCTCTCTCTGCACTGTCGCCTGCTCTACTTTCTCCTGGGCAGATGGGGACAGGTGTCTCATGGCCATCTCTACTGGTTGTAGCTGAGTCTTTAGGAAATCACAGAAACTGAAGTTTGAGGAGACTTTGGGGCTCATTCTCAGGGTCCCATATACTGAAGCATCACCCGGGCTAGTTCAGGGTCAGGAATAGGCTTATGGTCCTGTGGGGGCTTAGCCTGGGGGCAGCATCTGTGCAGAGAGTGAGGAGGGGTAGCAGGCGAAGGGTCTAGGCCATGGTGAGACATCCCAGAGCTTTGTCTTTGGGGCCCACAGCTGAGCCTGGTTTCCTCAGGCCTGCTCCACACTCTCAAAAGTCCCAATGAAAATGCACCCTCCGTCGCGCTGGACTGGAGAGAACTCAGCAGGCTTCAGGGTGGGCTTCATGTGTTTGGTTGATATGGAATTATTCTTCTCCTTATATCTCATATGGGAGTGATCGTCAGTGCTTATTTGAACAGTCTTAAAGGTATGATAGGAATCCCATACCCACGGTTGTCTGTGAAGCTCACACGGGTGAAGGGTGTCTCTGTGTTTCCAGGACCCTGGCCATTGCTGTGTCTGAGTCCCCCTTCTGCTGCTCTGTCAGGACCAGACAGGGGCGTACATGTGGCCCACCCTGGACAAGGTTGCATATAAGCATGACAATATTTGATGACACTGACTCAGCGCTGACTACAGCCCATGCCACGCCTGTTTGTGGGCCTTGACCACGTGAACTCTTTTAACCCAGAAGCACGTCTGAGGGAGGCGGTAAGTGAGGAAAATAAAAAATTTTGAACTTGGGACATCTGACACTGGCAGCACTCCCTGGTAACACCAGCATGCACATGTACACACACGTGCACACACTTACACACAGGTATAAACAGCACATTCCCACACACAGGTGCACTCATTTAAATACCTACACACACTCCCAAACAGGGGAGCACACCTGGCCAGACTCCCACACATGGATGGGTGCCTTTACACACCGGGGCACAATCCTACACACGGCACACGCATTTGCACACCTGCATACACTCATGGGCATGCCTGCGCAGACTTCCACACACAGGCACCCACATTTACATGCCTGTGCACACTCCTTCACATGAGCACACACATTTACACACCTGCACACACTATTGCACATGAGGACACACATTTACACATCTACACACACTCCTGCACATGAGCACAACCCTGGGCACACTTTCACACATGGGTACACACCTGGGCACACTCCTATACATGGGCGACCTTGCACACTGCACTGTTCTGTGCACAGGAGAAAGGGAGCCCATTTTCCAGCCTGCAGTCCTGTTCTGTGGGCCTGCAATTGCAGGGACCTGAACCATCCTGAGAGACGTCAGAGCGACTTTGTCTTGTCTACACTCGGTGACGCACGTTACTTTCCCACTTGCCTTCCCACAGCTGGCCTGGCTTGTGACATCCTGGTGCTGGGAGGAGATGTTCCGTTTTGCAGAGTCAGGACAATCTGCTCAAGATTTACAATCAATTTGTGACCTGTGGCCATTTCCAGTGGGCAGCATGGAGGCCTGGATGGGCAGGAACAGATGGATGGACATTAGGGCCAGGCCGGTGCCACTGAAAGGAAGAGACCCTGGGGTCAGAGAGCAGGGGAACCTCCTACTGTTTACTCTGGGTCAGTGCATTGAGCACAACCGGGAGTCAAATGGGCTCTTAGGATGCAAAGGCCACAGCAGCACTGACCTGGGCTCAGGGTAACCAGGAACTATGGTCGGAGGAGAGGAGCAGATAAACTCTCTGCTTATCAGAGGCCCTGGTCATATAGGGATGGCCAAACTCTAGGGCCAGAAAAACTTAAACACCCTTAGATGAGCTCAGCTGTGTCTTCCCACCCCCCGACTCTCGCCGCCTCGTGCATGATATTTCAAACCTGGATTCTGCAAACTCCTCCCTTAGCTCTCTAGTAGACTTCACCTTGAAACCGTTTCTGAGACACGGTGAGAGTTAGCGGGAGAATGCCCAGGGATGCTCGCCTGCACTCCTAGATCTACTTTTAAGTCATTAAAGTCTCTCTTTTCCTAACCCCC